GATTACTTTTGTACCCATCTGGAATTGAAACGCAAAATTTTTCAGGCTTTTTGTTGGCACGTGGGACGAAAATGACAGTTGAGGTAGAGAGGGAGAGAGGAGCCTGATTGGTCCTTTCACGTTCGGTTCACCCCCCTTGTCTGCGTCTTGACTAGAAGCCAAGCTGCATCTGCATGCATTTTTGCTTGCGAGGAGGACGACGTCGAATTCACGGTCAGGGAAAAGTGATTCCTCCTAGTCCTAGTACAGTATCCTACTACATTGATTCTTTCCTAGTACCACAGTCGTCGTCCACATGGCCGCGTTCGGCTGGTCTGAAAAGTTGAGCCCTTCACGTTGCTACAGTGCATCTTTTGGTCGCTATAATATTTTTCTCTCACACAACCAGCCGCTATAATGTTTTGGCTTCTTTTTTTAATAAGCGAACGGGCCCGTTCGCTTGTCTGGAAAAAAAAAAGAAATCAAAATACTGTAGCGACTGATTGTGTGAGAGAGAAATACTGAAAGATACACTGTAGTAATGTGAGGAGAAGCGGCCAGACCAGCCGGCTGGTCTGAAATTTTCAGAGCAGCCGAACGCGGCCGACATCTCGATCGCGCGCGGATTCCACAGATTGCAGCTTAAAGAATTTACTAACCTTCGCATCGAGTGCTGCGTACGAGATCAGGATTACTGCGGATCTGACCCTGCTGCTGCTACAGCTGTTAATCTGGGCCTTGTTTAGTTTACATCAAAATTCCAAGTTTTTTCACTCTCTCTCCATCACATCAATTTTTAAAGATTCATCTCGCATTAAATTCCAGGTAAAAAATAACTAATTAGTTATTTTTTTTTTAAATCACGAGATGAATCTTTTGAGCTTAGTTGGTCCAAATTGATGTGATTTAGAGAAATAAAAACTTGGAAACGCTTGATATTAAACAAGGCCGAGATCAGGATTACTGCGGATCTGACCCTGCTGCTGCTACAGCTGTTAATCTGGTCCCTGGTGGGTGGTACTCAGAAAATTCAGAAGTTCAGAGCAGGAGGAGGGAGCCAACCAACGGTGTCGGATTTGTGTGGCAGCCTGGCCTGGCAGCTGCTGCTAGCACTAGCAGTAGCAGGCGGACTGACTGACTGTGAGAACTGGGAATAATAGGACATAATGAGGGCAATCAAAACATTTCCTGGGCATTACAGTCACGGTCTCACTTCCTTTCTCTAAGGGCTTCTTCCACCCAAAACTTAAAAATTTTTGCGCAGTATCTATCACATCAAATCTTGCAGTATATACATGGAGTACTAAATATAAACAAAAATAATAATAATTACATACTTGGGTGAGAAATCATGAGACGAAACTTTCGAACCTAATTAGTTCATAATTAGACATTAATTGCTAAATACAAACGAAAGTACTACAGTAGCCCAAACCCAAAAATTTTTGGATCTAAACGGGGCCTAATTCAAAAAATAGCACGATGCCCTCCGATCCCTCCCCCACCTTACAACGCCGTGCTTCGACTCGGCGGCACACCGCGGTACCTGAAAACGGCAAATACCACCGCTGATCAATGTGGATGTGGATGTCTAGCTCCATGCGGCAAGTACACGTGTGGAAACCTGAAGCACGGTAATTAATTTCGCACGAGTTGTTGACGTTGTGGATGAGAGAGGAGGAAGTAAAGGCAAAAAGTTGTTGTTTTGCTAAGTCTATTGAAAAATGCACATACATCTATAGCATCAAACTAGATTCAGTAGATGCTCCATGAGATATTTTTCACGCTGCAATTATTTGATATTGTAAATCTTAATATGTTTTTTCTATAAACTCGATTAAATTCAGACGAGTTTAACTTAAAACAAAGCTAAACGATTTATAATCTGTAATCGAGAAAGTATCTGTTAAATGACTCAAAATTAAGTGGCACTACATGAGAGATGATACCAGATGCACTGCAAATCAATCTTTGGTTCAAAATAAACGACCTAACGCCGAAGTGTTCATTCTCTGTCTTAGGAAATGTCTAACGTGAGTACCAGACGCCCATGCATGCATTTGGAAAACGAAGAAAGAATTGCGAAAATACGTATGTGTTTTCTTTAATCTTGTTTTTTTGAGGTATTTTTTAATCTTGTTCGTGTTTCATACGAAAGCATATACGCCATGCTTTGATTAGACCGTTCATAATTCACGGACGACAGAGTAGCCCCTAGGGCCCCCAAACTACACCGATCCTCTTCACACCGTCGCAATCGTTCCGGTCTACTGAACTTTCAGAGTATCTCTCTCCCACACGTACAAATCTCCATCTCGTAGCGCAGATCGGGGCCTGAACTTTATTCATATTCACATCCGATGTACCTGCCGGCCGGTGCCCCGGTGGTGGTAGGCTAGGCTAGAGGAAGGGGTTTCCGGCGCAACCGCGCGCGATTTAGGTCAACTTATCAGTCGTACTATTTTAGTAAAATAATAGTGTTTTTCTCTCATAATCAATCAGTATCAACAGTTTGTCCTTTTATTTGTGGGAAGTAGGGAGCCGCCGTACCATACTACGATACGACGACGAACAGTCCGGATCTCGCCGAGTAGTCTGTGCAGGCACGAAGGAGACAGTTGGGATCAAATCCATCCGCGGACCGAGAGGAGGCACGACATGAGCGCAGGAGGGTCTGGGATTTCCAGGATTAATTAATGGGTTAATTAGAACGGTGTCATTACAATTTTCACGATTTCAAAAAACGCCATTATAATTCACCTATTTTAATATATGCCATTACACTTCTAGCACTTGTTGGGATACGCCATGCTCTACGTCTTTCAAGGTCTTGGGCCCAGCATACAGTTTTTCTGTATGGACCGTAATGCCCTTTTCTTCTTCCTCGTCCTCTCTCTCGTCCTGCTCTGAATCCACTGAACTCCTTGCTCTGTACCGTCCGTAGCCTCCCTGCAACCATCGTGAAGGCCGGGATACGACAGCGCAGGGCGTGCGTGGGCGACGGCGAGGCGCGGCATACGCAGGGGTGGCCAGGGCGATGGCTTGGGGGTCGGCCCCCGCGCTCGCTGTCACGCCACTCGCCGGGCTCGTGCGCTAGCTCACTATCACAACCGTGCCACTCTCCCTGTCTCTCGCTACATCTTACCATCCTCGCCGTCGCCGGCCGCGCTCGCACTCGCCGGCACCACTGCCTTCCATGCTGAGCTCTCGGCGGCTACTGGACAACCACAATCTGCCCGTCAGCCACCGGGACCTCAAGTGTGACAACATTTTCGTGAACTGTAACTAGCGCGAGCTCAAGATTGGCGACATCGGCCTTGTCTAATCACAGCTGGGATTAGCAAATGTCAATAGTTATGTTGGGTTGGTTGGATAGGTGCACCAAAGTTCATATCACCAGAGGTGTACGAGGAGTATAGTGAGCTGGTGGATTACTCATTTGGAGTGTGCGTGCTAAGCTCTCTGAGGCAGAGTAGGAGGTGGTTGAGCTCTCGGCGTGGAGCTGCGCGGGGCCACCCACGTCGTGCCCAATCCTGGCTCCGCGCCCCGCTGCATACATCCACACACCATATATCCAGGCGAGCGTGCAGGCCGACGAGCGCTCGGAGCCGGCGGCACGGATGGGGAGGCAGGCCGGGGCCGTTGACACAGTGCTCCACGTCCATGGGGCGACGTGCGGTATGGCGGCCCAGCGTGCCGCGGCCGCAGAGATGGCGCGCAGCGAGCAGGGACACGACCGTGTGCAGCGCGGCGTGTGGCTCGAAGACAACATGGGCGACGACATCGGCTGCTGGTGCGGGCAGGACACCGAGGAAGAAGACAAGTGGAGAGGAAGGGGATGACGCTGGGCCCACTTGTAAGTGAGATAGAGAGAGGGAGAGAAGCAAGGGTATTTTGGTCCATACAAACGAGAATACTGCTGCAGCTGGGCCAGTGGGAACAAAGACGTAGAGCGTGACATATTTGAGAGAGTGTTAGAATTATAATGGTATATATTAGAATAGATGAATTGTAATGGTATTTCCTAAAATCTTAAAAATTGCAATGGCATCGTTTCAATTAACCCTTAATTAATAGTGGCATGAGCGAAATCGTGGACCACGGCCCATGGCCTTGCTAGAGAGAGGAGCCCGTGAAGAGAGGGAGGGTGTCATTATTATAAACTAGCTCATTAAAATACTAACTAGTGTGATATTAGTAGTACTACTAAAATAAATTATTATTTTTTGTCATTAAGTGATTTTTAAAAAGTTTGACCAATTTTACATGAAAAAAATGTAAACGTCTACTACATCAAATAAGTAGATTATAAAAAGACTATCTCCATTCCAAATTATAAGTCGTTTTGATTTTTTTTGATACATCCATTTTGTTATGTATCTAGTATAATAATATGTGTAAATACATAGTAAAATGGATGAACTAAAAAAGTCAAAGCGATTTATAATTTGGTGCGGAGGGAGTATAGTTCATGATGTATATAATGATACTGATTTTATACCATAAATATTGGTGTTATTTTCTATAGATTTGATCAACTTTACAAAAGTTTAATTTTAGATAACTCTATAAATTAATTTGTTTGGGGACTGGGTGGTAGCAACCAAGAGTCCAAGAAGAAAGTCGAGAGAGAGAGAGAGAGGGACAGAGGAGGGGGAGGGACGGAGTAGTATAAATTTTGGGCAGGTGTGGCTTTCCCATTCGGTGGTGGCCTGGCCTCACAAGTCACAGCACAGCCATACAGAGGGATCACACAGACACACACACACAGAGGCGAGCCAAGCAAGGAGAGCAGCAGCTTAGGCTTGTGCTTAGCTGCTGCTGCTTGCTTCCTTTGCTCCTCCAGTATTCTTGGCCAGGCTTCAGCTTTGGCTTGGCTAGTCAGCGGATACTACCCGCTGCACCGTGCAAGCAAGCAAAGCAAAGCAACCAGCCAGAAGCCGCGGCGACGACCGATCGTCAAGCTCGCTCGATCGCCTTGGCCGGCGGCCGGCCGGACCACCGCAAGCTGCGGGCGAGCGATGGAGGAGCAGCTGGGGCCGGTGGCGGTGACGCACCTGCTGCAGCACACGCTGCGGAGCCTCTGCACCGGCGGCGCCCCGGCCCCGCAGTGGGTCTACGCCGTCTTCTGGCGCATCCTGCCCCGGAACTACCCGCCCCCCAAGTGCGTGCCGGCCGTGAGCTCTCTTCTCAGCTCGCTCTCCTTCTCCTTCCTGCTACATACCTTACCAGCTGCTGCTAATGCGCATTCTAACCGCGATTGTGTTCTTCCCGGCCTAATACTAACACGGTGTTTCTTCATTCGCTGATCGACTGGCTGGCCGCGCGCTTAATAACAACCTGATTAACCTGATCAGATGGGATCTCCCTGGCGCGGCGTACGACAGGACCAGAGGGAACAGGAGGAACTGGTACAGGCTTCTAGTTCTAGCTGCACACACACACACAGCACACCCATCAACTGCATACGTGTCTTCAATCGAGTCCCATGTGAATGCTCTGGGTGTGTGTTCTTCTTCTTGCGCGTTTGGCTTAGGATCCTGGCGTGGGAGGACGGGTTCTGCAACTTCGCGGCGGCCAACAGCTCTGCCGCGTTCGGCCAAGAGGGGGCAGCGGCAGCTGCGGCTGTTGCATATGCCGGGGACTGTGAGGCAGCAGCTGTGCAGCAGGATGCGGTGAAGCAGCAGCAGCCGCAGCCGCAGGGCCTGCAGCCTGAGCTGTTCTTCAAGATGTCCCATGACATCTACAACTACGGCGAAGGGTAGGTGGCTGACTAGTCCACAGTTCACTCACCATGATTAGCGAATAGCGAGCAAGCCGGTTAACCCTCCTCCGTGCTAATGATGGCGCCGGCCGGGCCGGGGGCCTCCCTTGACCCTCCTGATGTTCTTGGTGCGGTTTCCTTTCCTGCTGCATGTAGTCTGATAGGGAAAGTGGCGGCAGACCACAGCCACAAGTGGGTGTTCAAGGAGCCCCAGGAGCACGAGATCAACCTCATCTCCTCCTGGACCAACCCTGCCGACTCTGTAAGCACTACTAAGTTTAACTTAACCGTCATTACCTCAGGCCGTCAAGCTAAACATCATCGAGCGATGTATGGCTACTAATCTGTGAGCCATATTCTTTTGCAGCATCCGAGGACGTGGGAGGCGCAGTTCCAGTCCGGCATCCAGGTGCACACTTTTAGGCCTTGACAAATCGCAATCCGGCCCCCTTTTGATCAGAGGCACAGGCAGCAGCCAGAGCTAGCTGGCCTACCTCTGCTGCTGTGCATGGCAGCCGCGGCTACCGAGGCCTGGTTTAGATTGCAAGTTTTTTCACTCTCTCTTCATCACATTAAATCTTTAGACATATGTATGGAGTATTAAATGTAGATAAAAAAATAACTAATTACATAGTTTGATTGTAAATTACGAGATGAATCTTTTAAGTTTAGTTAGACCATAATTAAACAATAATTATCAAATATAAACGAAAGTGTTATAATACCAAATACTGATTTCTAACCTCAATCTAAACCAGGCCCAAGCCAAGACATGGCCAGCTAGCTGATGCTGCCATGCCATGGCCTGTTGGCCTGCCTGCGTCCGCTTTTCTTTTCTCCCTCTCACTCTCTCATTCTTCGCTTTGCTCTGCACTTGTGCAGACCATCGCCCTGATCGCTGTCAGGGAGGGCGTCGTGCAGCTCGGCTCCATGAAAAAGGTGCGCTGCTCAGCTACTACTGCTCACCGGTCGTTCTCTGCACTCCGATTTTCCGCGAGAACCGAGGGTCCGAGTCCGACCGTCCAAGACAGCACGTGCATAGCAATATATAGTGTGTTGGTTGGCCGGGTTCGGTCCAGAGCTTATTAGCTAGTTAATAGTGTTCTTCTCTCACAATAAACTAGTATTAGCTGGACTTATTAGCCCACAAACCCACCAGCGAACATGCCGATAGCGCGCAGCAGCGTTGTTGCATTGTTGTGTGTGTGATGACAGCGGTGTTTCACCATTCCGCGCGGCGCGCGGCCGTGCATGCATGCAGTGCAGCTGCGTCGCACGCCGCTCGCTAGTCGCTAGCTATATGACACTGACACGGCATGTCTCGTTCTGTGTCCGGCCTTTGAATGGGCCATGGGCGCACGCAGGTGACGGAGGACCTCAGCTACGTGGTGATGCTGCGCCGCAAGTTCGGGTACCTGGAGAGCATCCCGGGGGTGCTGCTCCCGCACCCGTCGTCGCCCGGCGTCGTGTTCCCGTGCGGCGTGGGCCCCCCGCCGGTCATCGCCGCTGCAGCCTGGCCGGGCATGATGCCACCGCATGCCGCCGCCGGGCCGCCGCTGGAGCTCTACGACCCCTACGGCGCCGGCGCCGGGCCAGCCGCCGCCGCGGCCGCGTCCATGCACATCATGCCGTCGATGAGCAGCCTCGAGGCGCTGCTCTCCAAGCTGCCCTCGGTCGTGCCGGCCCCGCAGCCGGCAGCCGGATCGTCCGTGCCCGGCGTGGCGCCGCCGCCGGCCAAGGAGGAAGCCGACGATTACGTGCAGTGCCATGGCATGGACGACGTAGCGGCGAGCAACGGCGGCGCGGCAGGGGACGAGAGCACGAGCACGAGCGCCGCCGCCGCCGCTACCGCGCCGATGTCGTCGTACTTTGTCAACGTTGGCAGTAGTAGTAGTAATCCCGGCGAGGGGCAGTGGTTTTAGCTCGACGTGGCAGCCCGCCGGGCCGGCGCCGGTTGCCCGTCTATGGTTGTTGGGCTGGTCTTCTCTCTAGGGCGAAATCAATCAATCGTATATCATGTCATCGCTATATGCTAATGTAGTTAACCCAATGATTTGGCAATGTTGTCTTCATCTCTCCAAGCCCTTCTGTTCATGCTACACAACACGTACGTACGTGTTGTGTTACGATCGAGATGGCACCTGATGTGGACGGAGCACGCACCACACGGCGATGCCATGCCATGGCCCCCCATGCATGCATCCTCCATTTCAGCATTTGATCGAACAAGCACAGCCCCGGGCCTTCGAGCTGTGCCCACGCACAGGGCCCTTGAAGCCTAGGGGCCCAATCCCAGGTATGTCAGCTATAGTTGGCCCATAGGAAATACAAGCGCGTAAGAAAGAGTCCGTCGATTTCCCTTCCGTCGCAGACGCTCTCCTCATCGCTCCGCCATCCAGCGTCGCCGTCACCGATCTGGCTACTCCGTTCGCTCGCTCCGTAACTCCACTCCCAACCAAGCGAGTACGACACTACGACTATACGAGACATCCTTACGCCTAGACGTGTTCAGGTAAAGTGTCATGCCCAATTGTCCCTGTTCCCTTAGTCCCTTTGTTGATTATTTAATCAATGTTTAATTTGCCTAATTGCCTTTGCCCCTTGTCGTTATTCTTTATAATAGAATATATAAGACTCAGATTCTAATTTGGGATTGGGGAATCTCTAACAGTGCAGGGCAGTGGATAATTATTATCCTTGTTCTCCACTTGTCTCTCGCTAAAAAAAATACTTGGTACTTTACTAACACTCATTTTTATTTTAACGTTAAACTGAATCTAGTATTATTTCTAAATTTCCAGCGTCCTCGTGTTGCCAAAAGGCATGCATTTATATAGAAGTGAAAAAAAAAGAGATGGATAGAATTTTTATACATATTATTATAATTAAAATGAAAGCCTATTTTCCAAGCTTCGCTTCAGCCTATAAATTGACAGGACCGGTAATGAACAAGCATTTGACCCCATCACCGTCTTCGGGTCCCGGACGGCTCCCCGGCCCCGAGACCCGAGTGCGTTCTCCCCAGTCACGCGTCTGCTATCGAACAATGATTCCTTGGCTTGCTTTCGAGAGTCCGATCGAGCACAGCCGTGCATCTGGAGACTTTAACCTGCTGCAGTCCTGGACGTGATGATCGATCCTATCGAGCGCCAAATGAAACCTGCGGGATCGAGGAGCCGGCGCTGGCGCTGCGTGCATGTGTAGACGGTAGACCACTAGACCTGTAGTGCACTGGTCGCCGGTGCTCGTGATACACGTGACCGAAAAGAGAGAGAGAGAGGTCAGTCAGTCACTGCTTATCTGTTTCCATTGCCCTCCGATCCACAGTACTCGTAGCAGTGTTCGATTGGCTGATTCGTATTGTTGCTGATTCGTTTATATGAGAGAGAAGTACTGCTGGCTGATTCATGTGAATAATATCTATGTGAGAGGACTGGCCAGCCAGCCTAGCCAACCAGCCCCAGCCGATTAGGACCCTAGTCAGTCGTCGATCTCGAGGTTTACGCACAGGACTACAGGAGCCTCTACGGCTAGGCTATGTAGTGAGGGTGAGGCCGCTGAAACTCTGGACCGTAGCAGCACTTCAAATTGCTCGGTTGACTGATTCGTGTTGTTGCTGGTTCGTTTATGTGAGAGAGAAGTACTGTTGGCTGGTTTATGTGAAAAATATTCATGTGAGGGGCTGGCTGGCCAGCCCCAGCCGGACGGGCGTGCCTGCCCTCGGCGCAACAGTCGCGCGCACAGCCGCGTCGCGGTCGTCACTCTCACGTCTCACCAGTCACCAGCAGCAGCCGCAGCAGCAGCAGACGATCGATCCAAGCCAAGAGGACACGAGAAGGAACATTTCACCACGGCCGGCCGGCCGGCGCGACGCGACGGCCTGCCAATGCACTGCCTGTGTCGATCTGTGTGTGGCCGTCGGCCGCCAGCAGTGGCGGCACTCTCACTGTCTCGCCCCGCCTGCCATTAACGGATCGCGCGCGGCGCTGTCGACGGCCGGCCTGGTGGCCAGGGCGGCAGGCCCCGCGCTGAAACTGTAGAATTCGGAGAGGGGGGCCGCGCCCGCCCATGGCAATGGCATGCATAGCATAGGTATTAGGTACGGCGCAGTAGCGTAGGAGGAGCTTCAGGTTCAGTGATTCAGTCAATGGCAATGATCCAGCGGTCTCTGGTCCCCCGCCCACAGGGAAACATTTTCGGGCCCATGCTCATCATCGTGCATGGTCCTTCTGATGATAATTCGTGCCCTGTTCTGATAAGTTATAACTGAAAGTACTACTGTTGTCTGATTTGTTGTGAGAGAACCTTGTTCGCTTGCTAATAAGTCATAGCTGAAAGTACTGTTGTCTGATTTGTTGTAAGAGAAAAATACTATTCGTTAGCTGAAAAGCTTATACGTGACGCTGATCGATTCGCTTGGATCGCCCTCCCCCGCACTCCCTCGCCAAATGGGTTGGCCGCCGCGTCCTGCCGAAGCGTGCATGAGTGCCGTGCGCGCGCGCGCGAGCCAGGTGCGCTCTGCCACCGTGACGACGTGCGTACTGAGCGGCGGCCGGCCGCTCAGTATCGTGGACGCACGGTCAACGGAGGCCGGCTCGGATCCTCTGTGTCTGTGCGTTCGACGGCTGATCTCACCTGTGCCGTGTGCCGCGTTTCCACGCGAGTCTACAACGTGTATATGAGGCGGTTATCAAAGGGGCCCTGCTATGGGTGTGGGTCGTCGATCGGACCGGCACCATCGGTTGACACGGCCGGCGCGGCAACTTCTGGTGGCGGCTATCGTCGCGCACGAACCATCCGTACGTACCGAGCCCCGGGTTGCACAGCTACAGAGGCGCTGAGAGCGAGACAGCACATGCCGCTGCTGGTGGTGCAACGTTTTCGGCGAGGCGCATGGCATGGCATGGCGCGCCGCACGGCCGCACCGCGCGCGCCTGCGGGCGTGGTCCTGGATAGATGCGGTACGGATCGGCGCGCGTCGGCGCAATCATTGACAGGCGGGTTCCCGTTCCCGTGCGGTCGCGTGCGCCGAGCGCCCACCGATCGGGTAGGGGCCGGCGGGGACGGAGCCGTGTGGCGGCGGCGATGGGTTTGGTTGCATCCGGGGGCAGGATTTCGCCGTGATCCGCGTGTGATCATTGGGTGCATGCCTGCGCTGTGGGCGCTCGGTTCGGTCGCGTCGCGATACGCTGATGGCCGGAGCGACGGGAGCGCGGACGGACAGCACCAGCCTACATGCGAGCTTGATGTGCTAGGCTTCGGTAGGCGTTAGGCGGTGGAGAACGGCGGCGAGCAGCTGAAGCAGGCAGCCTGGCTGCTTGCTGCCAATGTCTGACTGAACTTCAGTTCAGTCACGATGTTACCTCTGTTTCTCCCAGGTTCTCTCAATTTCGTGTATAAACGTTTTGGTATACAAGTTGCTCACTGATCATTGTTCTACTGAACTTGTTCAAGAGCCCCAAGACAAAATCTTAACCGTTTAAGTGATCTAATGACTCGGAGTTCATCAAAACACTGACTTTCAGTGCTCAGTTAGGTGATATGGAAACAGTTGTGATAAAGCACAATTAGCTAAGTGGTTCATGGTTAATTACTCAATTTCTATCAAGAGAAGTTACACCATTTTAAATAATTAACTTTGGACTTTAAATTTGAGGTGAATTTCCATATATGTTTATATATAAAACTGTTCTAAATTCGGCTCCAAACATTGAATGTAACAACTGCTTTCAGACTGAACAAAGGAAGTCAACAGTTTTGATCGAGCCTCTTTGGTTAAATATTTAGTGGTTAATTACTGATCTTCTGCCAGAAAAACTATACGAAATGAAACAGTAAACATAGTAATTCCAAAACAAGGTGATTTAACACACATAGGTTTATATATGAAATCTATCAAAATTTAGTTCCCAAAACTGAATGTTAGCACAGTTTTCACAGCTACGTTCCAGGGAGCCCTAACAATTTTTATGAATGTTTCCCTAGTCAATCTATTACTGATCCCTGGGCTTTGGTCAACAAGACCTATACTGATCCCCTAACAGTTTTGATTAAGCCTCTTTGGTTAAATATTTAGTGGTTAATTACTGATCTTCTGCCAGCAAAAACTATACTAAATGAACCAGTAAACTTAGTAGTTAGTACTTCCAAAATAAGGTGATTTAACACATAGGTTTAGATATGAAATCTATCAAAATTTAGTTCCCAAAACTGAATGTTAGCACAGTTTTCACAGCTAAATTCCAGGGAGCCCCTAACAATTTTTATGAATCTTTCGCTAGCCAACTGATCCCTGGGCTTTGGTCAACAAGACCTATACTATTTTAAAGAGCAAAACTCATACTTCTAATTTGATGTGATTTGACCTATAAGTTTATACATAAAATCTTCCTAAATTAAGTTTTAGCTTTGAATGTTGGTGGCTGATTTTTGGACTTCGGTACAACAGGTTAAGTGTTGCTCTTCACAATATTTTCAAAGTTTGAGCTACCATTTAAAGTCTATTTCGATTCAAAGCTTTGACGTGGCTTTGGTTTATCATGAAGTGCACAACTTAAACTACCTCTTTTGTATTTTCCCTTTGGAAAGTGTTTGGAGAAAATTAATTTAATAACCACCCCAAGGTAGCTACTTAATGAAAAAATTTCGTTTTAACATTTTATGGGACTGTATATACATGTGTTAGAAGATTCATGCATGTTTGAGGTCTAGGGTTAACTCTTATGATAAATAATTTAATAGCAAAAGCTTACCCTGATCATGACATCAGCCTGCACGGGCTCCACCATCTGGTTAGAGTGCTTTGATCTCATTTCATCGAAGCTCGGATCGAAGTAGTGAGCCTATATAGATTAAGCGTGGTGCTTAAGTTATAGCTTGCCTGTGAATATAGATAGGCCTCCGGATAGTTAGTGGTAGGTGA